GGGTGACGGGGAGGAGGGTCTCCATGGGGAAGTTGACGGAGGACTCGGGGTCGAGCACGTCGATGTTGATTGTGCGGTAGTTTAGCTGGGCCATGGCTGCGGTGTTGTTGTAATTGTTCGGATAGGGGGGGGTATGGATTGTGGATGATCGAGTTCTGAGCAATACGACAGTAAACTCAGAAAATTGAGGGCTGTATTCGCAGAGCCAGTAGTTAATTAGTTTGTTTGCGGACAGTATCGACAGACCACTTACCCTGTTTGATGTTCAGTGTCCGATGGAATGAAGCGGGGGAAGCTCCAAGGTGACGTGAGGTGACGTGAAGGACGAGGAGTGGGCTATCCTGGTGTGCCAGTCAGAGGGTAACTAGAGACGACCGTTCAGTAATTGCTTATATGGCTGTAGATCCAGGGAGAGAGGAATTGATTGAGTGGGACAGCTAAGAGACAGGTTGACTTGGACGCCTGCTGGGACGATGGGCACGATGCGGCGGTGCGGAGAGGTGGATCTTACAGCCTCAGGCAGAAACTCTACTCTTTATGGCATTTCGGTCGCACTGCAATAACTGAAAGGAGATTCGGAATCGATTGAGATTGAATGCACGACATACTCAGTCCCATCACCAAACGCAGTGGTGTGCATTGGTCGACTAGGACTCGAGTCATCGACGAGCTGCTCGAGGGAGCGATTTCGCCATTCCCTGATTCTGGAGAGGCGTAGTTCATGAGAAGTGATCTTCCTGGCTTTCGGTCCGATTCGTCCATTCCGTGTGTGTTCATGTATTTGTCGGAGTGCAGTATCCCGCGCCAAGATGTATACTCTTAGCAGTGATACTCGCGTTAATAGGCCTGGCTTGAGTGCACGTCTCCCTAGTATATTTTGCATACCCGCAGTGGTTTCTGGTGTGTTCAGAGGGATCCTCTGAGTTACGTGGAAGTTTGTATAAGACTGGTCGGTTAGGATATGTGTACTGCAGCGTTCGATCCGACCGCAGCAGGGCATGGGACAGGACATCAGCCAGCGAGGTCCCGGAACAATTACCACAGCGAAGGGCGATGATCAAGAGGAGCTTTATCGGGCACATGATGTTATGTGCAGCTGATTTCAAGGACTCAAATAGAAGGTCTTATCTTCGTGTTGTATATCCCTTTTGAGTAATCAGCCAAAGTATCATACTACTATTAAAGAAGACTTAGTTTTCCCTTTGGCAAAACGCACTTTAATAGACATCCGAATATCCTCAAGCGCTGTCCCATCTACAAACATGATCTGGACATCCTCCTATCAAAGGGACCTGAGCTGGTCGTAAAATCTTGAGAGTGAGATATCACTGCTAGGTGCGACACAAGCAGCTTAAACAACGAGAGTACACGCGTCTAGGAATGTTCAATCCCACGAGCAACATCCATTATTCAGGCTGTCAGTAACCAATACTTTAATCATACTACGCTTTGCGGCCATTCCAGGCCTTGTCCATCCCGCTGTAGTCCCCTGATAAGTTGGCCCTCGCGAGCAAGCTTGTCCAGTGGTATATATCCAGATTTTGACTCTGAGGCGAAATCGCAGGGAACTCTAGATGTTGATAGGTGAGCAAGTTGACGAGATGCTGTAAGCATCGCTTGATGTATCTCATGGTAGGGGCTTCAGTATTTGAAAGCCTCAACTACGTTGTGCATGCAAGCATTTCGATGAAATTCTCAATGTGATCGCCAGCAGGACGCTTATCATAACTTTGTAGGAGTCAGCACAGTTACTTATCAAGCATGCCATAGTAACGATAGGAGGGTAGATGCAAGTGTCACTTACTTCTGCTTTTCCTCAACGTAGTACTTGTCCCATTTGCGTTGAATAAAAATGAAAAGCAACCTGCGTTGGCGGCGCGCCCTTTACGGAGGGAAAGGCCGCTGTTGGTTCGCCTTGCTTTGCTTCGGTGCCCTCTAGGCAATCACCTTGTTTAGGGTATTGTCAAATGTCCAATTAAAGAGCCTCTCGCCCAGGAGCTATGAGTTGATATTGTCGGTCATGATATTGATACCGTCTATCTAAGAAGGAAGAAGGAGAGAGAGAAGGAGTGAGCTAGCTGTCTTGCCTTACATATGCACAGGCTCTGTGATGATCATTCAACTATACTCTTTAGCCGGTGGCTGGATTTATAACCCTAGTCCCAGCACCAGAGAACAAATAAAACCACAATTTTCAGAATAGGTTCTGCGGCTGTGGTGAGAACTACAATGCTTTTAAATAAATCTAGGACCAGCGCTTTACAGGCAGCATCATAGATAGGCACCTCCACCAAGAGGGACATCCGCCCTTTAGCCTCAACCGGGGTATCAGGCGTTATATCCAGGATTTCCTCCAACCCCTCACTATCATTGCGCTCAGTGCCCTAGCAGATAGCCCTACAGAACAATTCTAGGCTGTCTGATGAGGGGCAGAGCTTCTGAGACACCCCCCTAGATGGGCCTCTCTGCCTGTTCTATCATACATGAAGCTGTTGTGATTTCCTCATCAGGTAATTCCTTCCCCCCGGCCGCATTGCCGCCCCAGATTTGCATCTATTCAGAAAAGTACTTTTTTGTAAACAGGAATTGAGGAGTTGGTTCTTCGAAGCATATGAGGAGGAAAGATTGAGATGTCGGATGAAAACAAATTTGGTAGACGGAGAAAAGGGAGAGACACAGTCGAACAAGGGGGTGTGTTACATGATGTCATGTATCTAGGTAGTTCCACAGGCTACCTTAGCTCTTACGAATATCATCACCATACGGACATACCTTACAGGGTGATCTTGGATCATTCACTAGGTAAGTCATGTGACAGACTTGGTGAGCTCATCGCAGACGTTGACTCCTCACTTTTCCTTCTCACACCCATGACTTTCACCTTTAACTGGAATGATATCCTTGTGAGGATTAGCATCTTTCTGGAGAAACATAGATACATTGTGAGCTGAAGATGAACCATATTAAGAGTCCTTGAGACTCCCCAAGACGAGGTTGAGATTACTGCTAACTACTCTCAAGGTCCTTGAGACTCCCCAAGACAGAGGTTGAGCCTACTGCTCACTGCTCTCACGATAGATTGATTTGTTGTGACCTTGAGCGCTCAGGAAAGAGGGGTTTGATAATGTTAAGGGTACCCAACACAACGATGGAAGGCGCGATGATCTTCAACTCCTCATCTCAACCACCTCCGCCTTCCATACCTCCTTCCCTCTCTTCGCCTTCTTCCCCTTCCTCCTCTTCGTCTTCCTTACACCCTTCCTCCTCTTCATCTTCCTCACACCCTTTCACTTCGCACTCCGGCTCTTTACACTCCGATTGCAACAGACATTGTTGTTGGAACTTTACTTCGGCCGGGAGACCCTTGCGTACCCGCGTGATCCTGGGACCCTGCCGTTGGAAGTACTGCTCCTGCCCGCAGGGGACCTGCGTCATAACTTCTCCTAATCAAGTCCAAATCTGTGATTGTGCACACCCTATGGCTGACCACGAAGAATATGGTAAGTTTCTCTTTCTGTTGATATATGCTGCGTCTAATTTTGCCGCCCTGCAGCCACACAAGAGCCTACGGCCACGCCCGCCCCTGCAAAAGTTCCACCGGCGCAAATCTCAGAAGAACCATGTGAGTAATTGTCCATTGAGATATGTCCTAGGATAAAACCTAATGCATATAGATGTTGTCTTTCCTATCGCTGAGCGTGCAGAACTTGTGAAGGAGATTTTGGAACGCCTGCTTCATTTCGCCATAGTCAGGATAAATGCTACCCCCGCCTCAGGCAAAAGCACCTTAATGAATCTGATGGTCAAGCATCTTTTGAAAGGCAAAGAGGGCCACAACCCGATTTATGTTATGATTGGTTGGAATCACCAACGCGTTGAGAATGCGGGCGGATGGGCCAAATACTTGGAAGCACAGACGGGGGTAAATGGTTTCAAATGGCCGGATCATTCTGGTTATTTATTTCTTGACGAAGCTCAGGAATCATATCAGGATGATGAGTTGTGGGCCGGACTGTTCAAGACTGTTTCCCCAAATTCAAAGTGTCGAATCCTGCTCTTTACTTCCTACGGCTCCCCAAATAGGGTTTGTGAAGGATTCGATGACGCGAAATTCAGAAAAACCCCAATGATTTTCGATCCAGCGCAACAGATATCCCTGAAACCTGACTCCCGTGTGGCACCGGATTTCAACCCGGTTGGTCTGCTCCTGGACGAACGCGAAAGCATGAAACTTGTGGGAGATTGTATGAAGAGCCGCCTCTCATCAATTTTCACTGGAGCTATAACGGAAGACTTCAAGCGTGGTGTCTGGCAGGTCACTCAGGGCCACGCAGGGTTGATCACATCATTCTGTGACGTTTTAGGACGGTCAAAGGTAAGTCTTGTCCTGGGTTTCAGGCTATTTATTCAACACCGATTAGTTTGCTCATCTCTTAATGCTTCTCATGTTAGGACCTTCGTGAATATAGACATTCTGATCTGCACTGGAATATGATTACCGACATTATCTTCAAAGACCCTGTTGGGTTGTTCGAAAGGATCAGTGGTTCTCAATTCTCCAGAGGTCTCCCTAGAAGCAAGGATTTGCAGAACCCTGCTGTCGCTAGGGTCCTCAAGCAAGCCATCCTATCGCCTCGCGGACTCCTCCACTCATCCTTTGTCGATGGAAGTCTAGAATCTCGGGCGCTCAGCTATATATGGAGAAATGGTTGGCTGCATGCGCAAACGCAACCCATTGGAGATGACACCCAATACGTTTTCGCAACAGACTTTCACAGATGGTAAGTAGATGGTCCGTGAATTGTTTTATCTTGCTTCCTAATATAACAGCGTAGGTTTTGCGCTTGTGTGTTTGCTCCGGCAGATGATGGCATACAACCACTGCCATACTTATCTCCCCTAGACCTCGCCAAGGAGGTAGTGAGAAGATTCAACCCCCGCCAACTATCAGAACCCGAACGAGCTATGAACCGTAATATATCACCACTAGAGGATCAGTACGGCAAGGAGTTTTATCGCTGTATTGGCGATGTCTTGAAGCGCCGTGTGGTTGTGTCACCAGAATTTTCAGTTAGTTACGGAACTCAAAGCGGCATTCTCGATTTTTTCATACCGGGTACGGCATGGGGCATTGAACTCTTGAGAGAGAACGATCGGATCTCGGAGCATCTGACTCGATTCGCGCCCGGGGGACAGTACTTCCTCCTGGTGAAAGAGCGCAAAATGAAGTGGATTGTCTTGAATTGCACAACCAAACGTCCTTCCAAGAAACGAACAGGTATTCTGCCGCGTCCCTCTTCCTTACAGCCTAACTAATTGTCTTCTCTAGAATACCTCGATCAACTTTACCACGTTGTTTTCACTAGCGATTTCAGATGTGTCGAAATCCTGCGTGCAGACCTCGAGCTGGAGTCAGCGTTCACTTTATTGGAGAGTCACTCTCATTCGTTTTTATCATAGCTCGCAGGTATTCTCCCGCGCCCCTCTTCCTTATAGCCTAACTAAATGTCTTCTCTAGAATACCTCGGTCGACTTTACCACGTTGTTTTCACTAGCGATTTCAGATCCGTCGGAATCCTGCGTGCAGGCCTCGAGCTGGAGTCAGCGTTCACTTTATTGGAGAATCGCTCTCATTCGTTTTTATCATAGCTCGTTCCTTAGCTAAGTTTAATGAATAGCATTTTTATGAGTCATCTACGTACTATATATTAATATTAAAAAGCAGCACTATATATAGAGGATAAAATTAGTACTCTAACCATTCACTTATATAGTGACAGTAAAGGATTCAGTTGGAATTAATCTAATTATAATCTCAGTTTTATGTTGCTTTAGAAAGGTTCAGACACCACCGACAGCTACCTAATGTGTACCTGAGGAAGTCTTTGCCTTGCAAGGATCTCAGTTTACTCGCGAGAAGAATGGTATTAAGGTAGTTTTCGAATTTTTTAAGGGTGCAAACGGAAATGGTGCACCCATCTGCTACTTTAGTCTATCATACAGATTCTTTAGCAAAGTCAGAGAACGCTCAAGGTGGACAAGCAGCCAACAACGCCAGTATGTGTGCTCAACAGATGATGCAGACAAACGCAGAGCATAAAGAACAAAAAACGAGTAAGCCAACCCTTTTGTACAGAGTATATGCGTATGGATATATCTAGGGAGTGTCGTCAATCACGTAGAGTTTGAATAGGGCGTGCCACAGCCAGAAGCGACTGGGAAGCAAGCCGAGTGTCGTATATAAATCATGAAGAGCTCGTAATCGTAATGGGAGGCACAACTACCGGTGTTGCAGGTGCCTTGGACGTATGCTGCTGCTCCAAGTCCGTCAAGGGCGCTTCCTCCTCGTCCGGCCTGGAGTTGTCCTCTTCTGCGTTCCGACGTAGAACACGACGGCTGAAGCGCTTAACAGGTCGCATCATAGACGAAAATATCCTCGAAATGACGCTGAAGGCTTTGCTAATCGGCCGGAAGACGGTGCCCACAACTCGGACGACGAAGTTGATGGCTATCTCGACCGGCCGGTCGGGTATCAATCGCAAGACCACTGCCCATGGCAGACAAGCAACAGCACAGATGATGCAGACACCCCATTGAAGACCATCCAGGCGAGTCACACCAAAGGCTGCACCTCCGACGTAGATGATCATTACTTGACCGGCGACCATGATGCAGTTGATGCCGAGAAACCAGTAGTTCCGGAACATGCCTTCGAAGATATTCAGCTTGTTGTCAAGTCTTCGGTTGTTGAATTCATTGAAAATCTGCATCCAGACAAAAGTGTTGAAAACGATAGTGTCGAGCTTTAACTGAGGATTGTCGGTGCCGAGACGGCTCCCCAGAATCTTCTCGCCAGCGAAGTAGAGCATAAAGGTGACGGCAAGCTGGTAGATGGCCTGCCCGATGATCATCTTCCACATGATCACAGTGAAAAGCGACGCACTCTTGGGGACGGGCTTGCGGTCGAGAATCTTTTCTGTCGGGGCGTCAGTTGCAAGTGCAAGGGCGGCAAAGGTGTCCATGATCAGATTGACCCAGAGCAGCTGAACCGCACTCAGGACACTCGTATTGTCACTGCTGTAGAGGGACGAGACAAAGGTCAGGACGACAGCAGTAATGTTGACTGTGATCTGGAATTGGAGGAACTTTGACACTGCGTCATTGACGGCTCTGCCCCAGGCGATTGCCGTAACGATAGACTTGAAGTTGTCATCGAGGAGGATAATGGAGCTGGCCTCCTTAGCAACCTCCGTGCCTGCAATGCCCATTGAAAAACCGACATCAGCTGTCTTCAGAGCTGGCCCGTCATTAGTGCCGTCGCCGGTGACAGCGACGGTTTCGCCCAGCTTCTTGAGCCGTGCCACCAAGATCCGTTTGTCTTCGGGCGAGGAACGGGCCAGAACTTGCAGGCGGGGAATGACCTCGTCCATCTCGTGGTCTGACAGCTGACGGAATTTGGGACCCTCCATGACAATGCCATCCTCTGTCTTGATTCCGCAGGATGTGGCGATGGCGGTGGCCGTTGCGATGTTGTCACCAGTGACCATCTTCACCTGTACACCTGCAGTATGGCATTTTTGAATCGCAGCGGGGACCTCGGGTCTGAGGGGGTCCTGGATACCCACGACACCAAGCCAAGCCATATCGCGGAAGACATCTTCGAACTTTGCTGCAGATGAGTCGTCTTCCAAGCGTTGAGCATCCTTTGGAGGCCAGCTTGGGAAGTCCCGGTACACCAGACCGATGGTGCGTAGGGAGTTCACTGCATAAGACTCGATCGTATTAAGCATCTTCATGCGGCCCTTCTCGGTGAATGAGTCGATCGTGACACCATCCGAAGACGCACTGAGATCGGAGACCCTCGAGGAGCATGCGCCAACCATGATCTCGGCGGCACCTTTGACCAGAAGACGATAGCCTGCCGCTGGCTCACGGTAGACAACACCCATACATTTGCGGGAGGAGTCAAAGGGGATCAGCTGAACAATTTCCGCAGAGGCACGTTCAGTAGTCACATCCATGCCGAGATAGTCTCTGGCCATTTGCAGCAATGCCACTTCGGTCTTACTTCCGATAAAATCTCTGGACCCTTCCTTATTTTCCTCAAACGCGGTGGAATTCAAAGCAACGCTCTTGATGATCAGGTCGCGTACTGCAGTTGAGCATTGCTTGAAGATCCCGGCCACGGTCGTCGAGTCGTCCGACGGGTCAACATTCTCCGTTCTGTCCTGACTGAAGCTCTTTTCGGTTCCAAAGGTCCCAGCGACGACAGTCATCTTGTTTTGTGTCAGAGTCCCGGTCTTGTCGGAGCAGATAACAGTGGCATTGCCCATGGTCTCGCAGGCACGAAGGACACGGACGAGATTGTTTTCCTTGACCATTCGTGTTGTGGCAAACGCAAGAGCTAGCGTTACAGCCAGGGGAAGGCCCTCTGAGGAGAATTAGACAAATGCCGATTCACGCTGAAGGATTTTCGAGTGTCTTACCGGGAATCGCCACAACGATGACCGTGACCGCAACGATAAGAATATCGACAAACTCCTTGCCTTTGACCGCAGGACTGGCAGGGTTATCCGGCAGGTCGGCAACGAATCTGAAGAACAAGGCGAAGAACAAGATGATCGCAGCGCTAGTGAGATGTTAGCATGAGTCCTTTATATTAAGCTGGTTGTCTTACCTAGAGCCAAGCCATCCGATCCAGTTGGCAAGTCTTCCCAGCTTCACCTGAAGAGGAGTAGGATCGTTCGACTCTTGCAGTGAGAGCAAGATACGGCCATAAGAAGAATATGGTCCAACACTGGTCACAAGGTAAGTCCCGACTCCTTCAAGAACTTTACTACCCGAGATCATGAAAGGGTCGAGTTTCTTCGTGGCGGTTCCGTTGACAATGCGCTGCCAGACGTCGTGTCCATTGGTCTTCTTCATTTGGTCCGATTCTCCAGTGGCGGAGGACTCGTCGCATTTTATTCCGTGTCCAGAGATGAGAATACCATCTGCAGGAACAGAGTCGCCGGGTTCCACGTGGAGCACATCACCGACCGTGATATCGAAGATCGAGATCATAGCTACTTTGCCGGAGCGAACAGCCTTGACTTCCCGATCGCTATTCTGTGCCATGATTAGAACATTATTGACAAAGCGTGGAATGAGCCGCCTACCCTCTTGTTCAACTTGGCAAACTGTCTCTCCTTTTGCCAGTCATTCGCGGCAGTCACAACAGTTACGATCAGGATAGCCACGCAGATGGCAACACCTTCGATCCAGTCCACCCCATGCCCAGCATCGACTGTTTCGTAGATACCCAAGGACAGCGAGACAATAGCGGCTATTGTAAGCAGAATGATAATCTTGTCATTGTAAGCGAGCCACAGAAGCTTCAGTAAACCCGTCGATTTCCGCGCAGGTAACCTGTTCTGGCTGAAGACGCGAATACGATCCTGGAATCTTGACTCGCCGCTTGACGCTGCTGCTGCTGTTGCTGCCGTCGGCGCATCGTGTGGATTTCGCTTCGAGAATTTCTGGTCGCTAGAAGTGGCTTCCTGAAACTCGACCGTGCCGTCCAAGAGGGTCTCGTCCTCCGATAACCCAGACGTCAAATCCGTCCGCAGACCTCTTTCCAGCCCGCGCAGTCCCCCGAGCGCCTGAAACGCAGCAAGCGACTTGGGATTGAGCATCTTGTTGAGCTGACCCGGTGAGAAGGCAAACTTGTTGTGCTCGACTCGAAAGTCCTGCTCATTTCGCGGATCCGGAGTCAGGGCCTCGGACAGTGGTACATCATCGTAGGCTTCTTTCGATATGGTGATGTCCGAGTTTGCCCGGGACCGTGCGATAGTGTCTGCGTTTGAAGCGAATGATTCTGATCGTGGACGTAGTGTGTCCCCGTCAATCGAACTCGGCGTTCGAGGGTGATCATTTTGGACCATCAACCGATTTGAATATGATGTTGATGGAATCTCCAGCGACAAAGATGGCTGTTCTGATGACTGAGAAGAAAGAGACTGTCGCTTGCTCATCGTTAGCATATCCCATTCATATCTAATGACAAGGCAGATCACATACCTGTCTGTCTTGCATATTAGCCTGAGGACTTAGGAGGCCGTCCTCACGGCTTCCGTTTGGTGTCAGCATGATTAGACTGACACGCTTTTTAGGTTAGTCGAACAATATGAGAAGACTAAATTATCATCTATCAATATGGTAGGAGAAGGGGCAGAAGCAGAGGTAAGCGGTTTGAACGGGGTTTTATCGATCTTGAGAGTGGCTGAGTCGCCTGTTGGGTAAGACGAGCAATGTCATTCATCCAAGAACACCAAGAAATCATTCGACGCCATTTTCTGATTGGGCCAAGCAAAAAAGAATAAAAAAGCATAATTAAAACACTCTAGATACACTGTTCCAAAGGCTCGAAAAGATTCTGTCTCCTCCTCTCTCGACTAGATATCGGCGCTGTCGTGCACAATTTGCCCAAGAGCTTGGCCTCAGCACAGCCCTCCTTGTCCTGCAGTGCGGAGCATTCCAAGACAATAATATTTAATAAGAGGAGTTGAGTTGGGCCTGTGTCTCCAGGAAAAGTGAAATCACCGACTCCAAACCTGGGAACGCTCCATTTCATCCAAAGTCCCGACGACGGACGAGTAGGTCAGCCAATATAGACGCCAGGGGCTTCCTCAACCCACCCATACTCTGGCACAAATTGCACGAGAATGGGCCGTCAACGCCGCCTGCGAAACAATTCCCAAACAGAAGCCAAGCGCGAGGGGGCTAGGCACAAGAGCGACACCTCGCATCTGACTGGTCCCCGAAGCCGCTCATATCAGTATCAACCAAAATTCAACTGACGGCGGAACTCCATTTCACTCCTGGAAACTCACTGCGCGCATCGGACTGAGCATTGCGCGATTATTGGAGTAGCCAGTGAGCTTTGCCGCCTGCAGAGTGGTCTGGAGCCGATGCTGCTGCGCCTCGCTTGGCCGATAGGCAAATCACAATAGACTTTGCTTTCTGACCCGCGCGTACGGAAGAGGCATCTGGGCATGCGTGTGTGGATGCGATAATCAGCACTTCGGAGTTAGGACGGCAGACTGCCCCATCCAGTAAGAGCCTTGTTGACTGAGAGTAGGTCCAACGGGGTTTCCTCAGAAACCATGTGACTGTCAACTCGTCAGCCGTCACCGCTGGATGGCAGCCACATCTGTGGCGCTGCGCCACATCTCAGAACTCTTGTCATGTCTCCTCGACTCGTCGGGATTCCATCATTGAGACTGTGTGGAGGCGAAAGCTCGCGGTCTCAGCTGGAGCTTGCTGTGAATGTGATAATACCAGGGGAAAGGCTGTGGCGCAGTTGTGGCGGTTGTGGCTGGTGGCCCTGGTTCTGATCGTTCCAGGGTGGGTACCACGAGTGACGAGCCTCATTGAGACTAGATGAGGCTTAGAATTTTGGATTTAAGCTTGTTGGTCGACGAGGATGGCTGAAGAGAACACTGTAAGTAAGGGGAAAGGTAGTTGGAGGAATAACGATTGAGACAGAAGCGAAGCAGAAAGTCTTTCGCTGTTAGGCAGCATCATTATCATGGTATCTCGTATTGTATTGTCATAAATTACAGCAAGGCACTGCGGTAGATCAGCTGTCCAGTGTAACTTTTGTATGGGCATTACATACTTCTTCAACACCATGAGAAGAGCACTTAGTAGGCATACTCAAGGTCCATTCTATACGCATTTTGCCATGTTAGGCAGCTGCAGAGGCGTATTTGGAATCTTACATGCTTTCTCGCCATGTAAGCTTATTTGCAACCTGTCCCTGCGAAGACTTGGTGTCCTGGTCATCTCTCCATAGCCACAATCACGGGGTTTGTCCACGTAGTCTTTACCATCAGCAGGGTGAACGCATCAGTCACTGACTGCTGTTTGAGCCTAATACGAGGGATACGATCTACTCTATGTGGAGAGTTGCAATGAGCAGCAGTCTATTCTTCCCAATCCAATACTCCCTCGTTTAACAGCTCAGCATATCGGTTTCCCAGCCCACAAAAACACTTCCTGGACCGTCCCACCTCATCATCCTCCGCCTCCTTCCTACCCAGCACCTCCTCCATAGCCCACGCAACCCTTTCAGCCCCCAGCCGTGCACCTTCAAGGTTCGGCGCCCCGGGGCCGAGACGCAGCGAAGCCAGCCTGCCTGTCACGAACAGAGGCACATCAGCGCGCCACATGAGATCATCCGTGATACACGGAAGACCTTGCTTAGTCTCGATAGGGTAGTCGCGGTGTATTTGCTTCAAGAGCGGGAGCTCCTGGACATCACACTTCATGCCTGTCGCGCAGTAGATGTAGTCGATTGGGGGTAGGTCCGGAATGGGAGGGTCTGTGGTGAGACGCCATGTCTGAGACGAGGGGCAGTACTCCTTGCTGCAAATGACGGTGCGCGTGTGGATGGATACTCGGTTGCGGGCTGCGTGGTGCTTTACGATTTTCTGGTAGCGGGGCGTGATGCTGCCGCCGTTGCGGGCTATTTTGATCATCTCGAGACGTTCTACTTGGGTGTTAGTGTCGATGCGTCAGGTGGGAAATGAAGAGACAGACCTTCGTCGGTGTCTGCGCCCCAGAATGCTGCTTTCTCGAAGTTCCGGAACTTGCCCATCCAAGGCAGACTGATGTCAAAGTGTTTCACTGCCTCTCGTTAGCACGCACTACCTTATGCTCTCGATTATCTAGTCAAGATCCAGTGCATCCGACTTACCCTTGAAATCTGACCTCATGAGAAACCACACCTTGGTGACACCCTTTCGAACAGCCATGTCGACAATCTGTGCAGACGACAGCCCTCCCCCGACGACGACGACATTCGTCTCCTGTCTCTGCTGTATTTTCCTCTTCACATTGGGACTAGGAAATGTCCGGATCTCGCTGCTATGACAAGCACCCATCTGCTCCTCCGCAGACAGTTCAAACGGGTAGACCTTCGTCTTGCCCGGCCCGATAGCCAACACCACAGCCCGAGTGTAGAACCTCGTCCCGTCGCTGGCAGTCACAGTAAAAATCTTCTCGCCAGGCGACATCTCCTCATGGAAATCATACCGGATATCGTCAATCTCATGTTGGAGAATCATACCAGGTGTATCCAGCCCATACCGCGTAATGATACTAGCACAGTAATCCGCAAAAAGCCCCGTCGACGGCGAGAAGTAATCCTTCCGATCTCGTTCGTCAATCTCCACCTCGCCAATTGCCCTGCAACCCCTCTTAGCAACTAGCCCCTTCACAACAGCAGGCAAAGGAAGAGAAGTTCACACTTACACAGGCTTCCCCCGCAACCTCTTCTTCCTCTTATGCTTGCTCACCTCCTTCCCCACACACCCCGGAATCTCCCACAGGTCCCCCTGTCTCTTATCCACCTCTGACGCTGCCGACGAACTTACGCCTTTCTTCCTCTGTTGTATCATCGTGTTGCTTATTTCACGT